AATTAATCCCAGTTCATTAGTAACCCATATCGTTTGAAAAGTGCTACTGACTCCTTGTACTGGCCAAAAGATCCTGAGTTGTTGTTTTGTTTGTTTTTTTTTTAAATAAAGGAATTTTAAAAATAAAGATAGGGTCTTGTTACTGTGATATTTAGAAGTAGACTTTGTTCTGTGTATGATATTTTTAGTATATGTTTCATTGGCCAAAACAACACTTTATGTTTATACAAAGTATATTCAGGAACACTCCTTATAAACACTGGCAAACTTGAGAAAGAAGTTGTTTTGTTGCAAAGTGATTTATAGAACAGAATCTTAAAGCAAATATTTTGAAAAGAAACATATTCCTAGGATAACTTTTAATTCTGGATTAGTAGTCTGAGGTCAAATTTGGTGTTTTCAAAATATTTATCAGTTGGCGATTAGAAGTTTTGAGTGGGATTAGAAGAGTGAGTGGGATTAAGAAAAAGGCCAGCATTCCTTTAGAGGATTTTCCTGAAACTATATCAGAAAGCTTTATAAGCATGTTACAAAGTTTGAGAACACTTAATACTATATCAGTTGTGACTCTTAATTTCTTCCCATTTCCATCCTCCTTTACCATACTCCTCCTCAAAACTCAGATATTTTAGATTCAAATTAATATTGTTGCCTTTCCATATTCAAAATAGTTTGATAGCTTCTCCTTTTGAATTATTATTGGTTGGGCTGAGAAGATGACTAGCAAGTTAAAAGTACTTGCTGCTCCTACAGAGGACCTGGGTTTAATTCCCAGCACCCACATGGTGGGTCACAGCTGCCTATAGCTCCAGTTCCAGGGGATCTGATGCCCACTTCTGGCCTCAGTGGGCACTACGTGCATGTGATGTGGTTACATGCTAGCAAAACACTCATACATAAAATAAGGATAAATAATGTTTTTTTTAAAAAAATAATGGCCCTTCTGACATACTTTTTTCTTTCTATATTGATATTTTCAATGATAGGTTTGACTGGAAAGAAATGCAAAACTAATTTAGAACTATGTCTTGTGTATTAGAGTAACAGTCAAGCTCTTCAATTAATATGAAACTGTTCAATTTTTATTCCACAACTATTATTTTTCTTTAAAACTCTATTATTACAGTTACAGACCTAGAGCAGTGAATCTTCCTTATTTAATTTGACTAGCATTGAAATTGGGGTTTATTTGTATACTGTATTTTATTTTCCCTTGGAATGATTTCTGTAATTTATCATGGAATTTATTTAAAGGAAACTTTGTTAAAGTTAGAAATAGATTCTCTATTCAATATTGTTATAATGGAGACTTTTGTTTTACCATGTTTTGTGATAAGATGATGTTGCCTATTTTAAAATACTGGTATTTGAAAAAATAGAGGATATAACAAATTGTTGTGCAAGAAACCTTCAGTAAAGCTTTGAATGATTTTATTTTGTTCCAAAGCTTTTAAAACACCAAGAACTTTGACTTGCTCTGTTTTACACTGCATGGTGTAAACAAATAGTGAACAAAGTAGATTCATTTGTATTTAAATTTCAAGTTGAGTTTTGAGTATTTTTAAAGAAAATGTCTAAAATCTGTTTTTAATATTTTATTGTTGTTTGTTTTTAATATTTTAATTTTTGTATTATAAGTTGTAGAGACCTGTATTGTCTTTCATTTCTGCTTAGAAAGAGATTATGCATATCTGAAAACTTAATTTCTGAAATTCCTTACATATTTTGTCCATTACAAAGAAATTGCTCCTATTTCAATTTCACTTCTTTACAATTACCAAACCCATACAATTAAAATGTAGAAATACTAAACCAGTAGCATTAGCATTGTTGTTAAAAGAGTAGAAGAAATTAGAGCTGTTGTTGTAGATGAAAATACCTAGCAGAATACCTTTGCCATAGGATTTCCAGTGAGTCTTACTATTTGATACAAGAAGTCTTATCCTTTATGAACTATATGATTACTGTAATTGTAATTCCTTTTTGGTGTGATTTTGTGATACTGAAATTGTTCTACCTTTCTTTACCAATATTATTAGTTCACTTACATTTCCTTTTTTTAAATCATCAGTTCTTTTTTTTGGTCTTTTTGAGACAGGGTCTCCTGTATTTTTTTTTTTTAGGAAAATAATTTATTGAGAATTTCATACAGGCATATAAGGATATAAGGTGTTTTAATCAAATCTATGCCCACTCCCTCCCCTCCAACTCCTCCCATATCTCCCTATCACTTTTTTTCTGATAACTTCAGGTACACTTTCTTCGTCTTTTTTTTTTTTTTTCTAATGGGGCTTTTTGCTACTCTAACATTCCCTCCTCTGAAGAGGTAACCTTAAAAAATCTTTTAAGGATTAGATAAGAGCTCCCAAATACTTTTGGCATTTTTGGCCTTTGGAACAGAATATGTTGCTAAGAGGCTCAAGGACTTTTTGACTTTTCAGCCAAGAAACTGGCTACTTTTCTTTGGGGTCTTTTTACACTAACTGCCTAGCCAGTTCCTACCTCGTATTCTTATCACAGGATAAGAATCAGGTCGCAGACCGCTCTGGCTTCTTCCAAGCTGAACAGGGATGCAGGGTGAAGCATTTGGGGCACCCCTTCAGTGGTTCTAAAAGACTCCCAAATTGCGTAACTCTTATCTGCAGGGGGAAAAGAAAGTCCTTGACTGGTGAATAGAAGATGAGGAGAAGTAAAAGCAAGAGTAAGTAATTAGCGTTACAAGTTCTAGACAGGGAGCTAGAAAAAAGTCAGAACAGGGCAAATTTCAAATGTTCATATGAGAGTCCATTGGAATTTGTTGATGAGAGCTTCCGAAAGCATCCCTCTATTGGGTTCCTCCTCATTTTTCTTTGTCTGCCAAAGCTGGACTCGAGAGTGATGGATTCAGGATTTGCTTTCAGGCATTTTGATAGCTGTTGGAGCGGTTAGAATCAGTATCAGTTTCCTCTCAAAGGCTTCACCACATGGAGGCAGGATCCAGGCCTGAGTTCTCAACCCCTATGCCAGAGGGAGGTGGGAACAGGCACTCTCTGGTGGTCTGCTGAGAGCCTAGCCACTAAACAGATGGAGGTCAGAACCCACCCTCTCAGGCTTGAGTTCACTTATAGTTTTTTAGTGGGGGTGGTTATTTAATTTTACATCTCCCAAGTCACAGTTCATCACTGAGGGAAGTCAAGGCAGGAACTCAGCACAGGAGCCTGGAATACAGGCCGTGAAAGTACACTGCTTTATGTGTATGAGTGTATTGCCTGCATGTATGTGAGTGCATGCACATCATGCAATGCCATGAAGGTCAGAAGAGGGCTTTGGATTCCCCTGGAACTGGAGTCAAGGATGATTCGTAGCTGCCATGTGAGTGCTGGGAATCAAACTGTCAGTGCTCCCTACCACCGAGCCATCTCTCCAGCCCCAAGTTCACTTATATTTTCAAATTATGCTTATTTTAATTTACTCAGTTTCTTCCACCTTTTGTGGTCAATACCTACACTGTACCCTGGCTGTCTGCTCTCACTCTTGCTCTTGCTCTCTTGCTCTCCCGTTCTCTTCCCCTCCCATAGGGTGTGTGTGTGTGTGTGTGTGTGTGTGTGTGTGTGTGTGATTTTTATGAGATACATAGCATGACCGTGTCTCAAAGAAAAGGAAAAAGGGAGACAATAAGAAAGGAAAAGGAAGGGAAGGAAAAAGAAGTTTAATGACTAATGATTTATAATGTAGCTCTCAATTCTTTTATCTTTAGTAGTGATCTCTAAGCTTTAAAATAGTTCATGTTTGAAAAGCTTGCAAGATTTCCCTTCATTCAAACAAAGTAAAACTATTATATATAAATGCCTATTTAAAATCATAATAGACACAATATATACTCTGTCAAATGATGTGGTACAGTTCCTTAATTTTTATACAGATAGATTAATTCACTGTAATTTTAAATAACAACATTACAAAGTAATCAAATCAAAAATCTTTGGTTTCAGGTACTTAGAAGTTTTTCAGATACTCAATTTTTTTTTGACAATGTTACTAGTACTGTATTTGTGTTGAGAATAGAATGTAAAATTGATGTTCTGAGAAGTACCAATCTCATTAAAATGAAAAACAATAGTATTATGACAGTGTCAAGTCTATACACAAACATCAAGAGTCCCAATTATGCGCCATGACTTAACAAAATCTCAAAATTGAACTTTTTGTGTGTCATGAGCTGTCAGGGTAGCTACAAAAATGAGCAGTTAACAATCAGCTTTCAGAAATATCTAAGTCAAGTCACAGCTTTAAAATACAAGCTATTATTACCGTTATCATTATTATTATTATTATTGGTCTTCTTGAGACAGGGTTTCCCTATAGCTCCAGCTGGCCTGGAACTTGCTGTGTAGATCAGGCTGGCCTAGCCTCAAACTCAGAGAGATCTGCCTGTCTCTGCTTCTCTAGTGCTGGGATTAAAGGCGTGCACCATCTCGCCCAGCATTGCAGGCTATTATATTTCTATGGTAAATCCTATAGGTGTAAATGTAAGGAGAGTGAAAATGCAGAGACAAACTGGTGTAATGAGAAAAGTTTCACTGGGGCAATATATTTGAGCTGTGTCAGGGTGAGTGACTTGTCTGTAAAGAAAACTCTAAAAACATTATAAAGAACAAAAGTACATTAACACTGTTTTTCAACTATCCGTACAACATTTTAAAGTCATTTCCACAATCTTCCTCAACTGAATCCCTTCCCCAGCATCTGGTAACCACTATTCTCTCTCTTTTTTTTAAAATGAATTTATCTATGTTAGGTCCTATTATTAAACACTCCTTTAGCCTGCTAACTTAGCATATAGTATTCTAAATTAAAATATCAGGTGGAAATGAAACGTTATTCTTGCATCTGTGGATTGGCTATTTCTTATATGAATCCAACTTTTGCTAGCTATTATTATGTAATAACCTTGTTGCCTTTTGATTCCTCTTAAATATTTCTATTTAAATGTTTTCATGTAGATTTTACTTTGTTTTTAGACTGAATCAGGATATGGATCTGAATCCAGCTTGCGTCGACATGGCTCAATGGTGTCACTGGTGTCTGGAGCAAGTGGCTATTCTGCTACATCCACTTCATCATTCAAGGTTTGTGGTTATGGATGCTTTAAGGCAACACTATTTGAATCTAGTATTGTATATTGTGAGCACAACTTATTTGGTAGGTTTTTTTTTTTTCGTTTTTAAGACATTTATATGAATATGTCTGGAGATAGGGGTACATTGTGCTACAGTGGGCATGTGGTGGAACTCAGAGGACAACTTATAGGAGATGATTCTCTCCTTCCACCATGTGGGTCCCAGGAACTGAACTCACTTTGTCTAGCATGCACAGTTCCCTGGTTTTAATCACCAGAACTGCAAAAATAATTAATGCCTCTCTGTAGGAGAAAGTTCATTTGTATCTCTTGAGACAAAAAAAATCACCTAACATTACTCAGTTTTCTACTAACAGTCTTATCAAGTAACTCAAATGCAATGAAAAGTAAAAACTTCATGTGATCAGATACCATCCTCCCCTCAGGGTTCCCTAGATGATACTTAACAATACTTAAGCTAAAATATGGCCAGTAATAATGTATTTACCCATTTCAAACTCTTGTCTGTTTCTCTTCATAGTGTTTAATTGGAAAATATTACCTGTTGTATTAGCATATTATCTGGCATTATTACTTTAGTAGTACCTACAGGTTTGTCCAATCAAGCCACTAGTTAAGCCCTTTTCAAGCCTATTCCTGGGAATATTACTTTGAACTCCACAGCTCTGTTTATCCCATTTCCTCAAGGATAAGGTGTCAGCCCCCAAAATTATTAAGTACTATAGGTCCACATAAAGTCCAATTTTGTTCCTTTAATCACATGCCCTCCCCTTTGTGTTTTGCAGAAAGGCCACAGTTTACGAGAGAAATTGGCCGAAATGGAAACTTTTAGAGACATCCTGTGTAGACAAGTTGATACTCTGCAGAAGTACTTTGATATCTGTGCTGATACTGTCTCCAAGGATGAACTTCAAAGGGATAAAGGTTAATTAAGCTATTACCACTATTTTTACTTGGAGAATAAATGGATTTAAAGCCTCTTGATCTTAACATGTAATGTGTCTTTAAATAATAAAGGTAATTAGTCACTTTGTCACAAGCTGCTACTGTAACAGATTTCAGGGTCCATGTGACTTATGTATTTTAATAACAGTTTGTTTCTGATCATCCATATCAGATGCTGTTGAAGATGTTTAAATGCTATTGTATTCTGTAGAAAGTAGTATCTGGCATCTTGTTAATATGGAGCACCTCACATTATTATGTTTAAAAAAATTTACCCCTGAAGAGTATTATAAGAGATAAGTATGTTGTCCTCTCCTCCTCTTGTTCCTCTTTCCTTCCCTTTCCTTAATTTAGGTCTTTTGTTTTCTCTCATTTCTCTCCTTCCCCTGTTTTTTTCTCATAGAAGTGAAGAAACGAAGTCTTTTTTTTTTTTTCAGTCCTTTTGAGACAGGGTCTCCCTGTAGCCCCAGCTGTCCTGGAACTCACTATGTAGACCAGGCTGGCCTCGAACTCACAGAGATCCGCTGGCCTCTCCCTCCCAAGTGCTGGGATTAAAGACGTGTGCTACCACGCCGGGCATTGAAGTCATATTTTAAAAAAAATACTTTTAATGAGTTTTTGTTTTAAAGGAAAAAGGTGTAATCTTTGATTCACTTTTAATTAGAGGCTTGAAGTTATTTTCCTTTTGTTAGTGTTGAAGCTACTGTTGTCAGCAGGTGTTCAGTTTTTCTCTTCATTTACTGTAAAGGTGAAAATGATCTACTTGCAGTATGACCAGCCAACACTAAGTTCATTCCTAGTAGAAGTAGGTTGCTTGTCATGGTTTGATTTCTTGGTATTACTAAATGTTTTTGAATTCAAATTTTTTTTGTCTTCTGCTTTTTGTTTCCTTTTTCTGCCTTTTTTGTATTGTTTTTTTAAGAATACTTTTATTATTCCAAAGTGAGGTGATTTTAGCACATTTTTTCAGAAATAACTTGAAACAATAATATATATATAAACTTCATTTTATATATATATTTAAACTTCATTATATATATATGTATATATAATGAAGTTTAACAGGGTGGGAGTAGGGATAAGAAATCAAAGACCAATGGATTTGCCATTTACAGCTGCGGTGGAAAGTCCACACTCAAATATAGATCCTCTGACTTCCTAACAGGAACACAAAATGGCGAGAGAGGTACCTTATGGTGTTCTCAGCTTATATCCTTAGCCCCTCCGTGACATGCAGCCTAAAGTCAACCGATTGGGTGTTTTATAATTCCATTTCATCTTCTTTCTTGATTTTTAACCTAAAAGTTTATTTTAATGGCTACTTTAGGATTTATAGTTTGCTCATTTAACTTATCACAATCTGCCTTCAAAATAATATAGTGCTTCATGTCTTACAGTAATGTGCTTCCGTTTTGCCCCACTACTAAACAAGACTTCTGAATTCTCTTGCAAGTTCCCCATGAATTATGAGGTTTTCCAGTCAGCACTGTGGGAACAAGTAACTATTCCTTATCTTCCCATATAAGAGCTGTGTGCTGCTCCCTGGAGCTTTTCTCTGACATTAGTAGTCTCCTTGTTTGCAGGTGGTATCATTACTCTGCTAGGTACTCAAAAGAACCATTTCTGATTTCTAGTAGTCTGTCTCTATAGATAGGACCTCTTGTTGCCAGTTATCTCCTTGTGAAAGTCTTAACTGCCTTTGAACTCTCAGCTACACCTCATCTCAGGAGTCTCCTGGGATTCCTGCACTTAGCATACAAGCTTACAACTCCCAGACAGGGGCCATCATGGAGCTCATAGCATTTGTTCTCAGCACTTAGAGATCAACTGTCCTTTGTTATTATTTCAGAACCAGTGTTCAATTGTCTCATATATTTTGTCCACCTTTTTAGATGTGTGACAGAGAATAAATTCAGTCCCTGTTACTCCTCTTGCTCTGGAACAGAAATCCATATTTGTCTAAAACTACTGAATTTTGCCTAAATTAAGTAGCATTGAAGTTGTTATTTTAGGGTTGGTTTGTTTGTTTCAGTCACAGAATTGAGCCTAGAGCTACATTCATGCTAGGCAAGTGCCTTACCACTGAGCTACAGCCCTAGCCCTTTCTATTTTAAACAGTTCAGTGAAAGACCCTATTTCAAATAATAAGGCAAAGTGATTGAGGAAGATACCAGATATTGACCTCTGCCCTCCATAAGGAAGTGGGATCAGTTCTAAAAGCAAAGTGTTAGCAGTGTTGACTTTTTCCAAGGGTAGCAAGGGAAAGATTTGTTTCAGGACAGTCTCATTAACATATAGATGCCCATCTTCTCCTGTTTTCTCATCCCACTGCACATGTCTGTTTTCAGATATCTTCTTATGAGGATGTCAGTCATATTAGATTAGGGCCCTCCCTAGTGGACCTCATTTTTTTCCTTTTCCCAGACTGTTATCTGAGGTACTGGCAGAATTGGGAGTAGTTTGAGAGACAGATTCAATTTACTGGTGTCTCAGAAGTGTTTGGGCTTTGAAAAATAGTTGACTGATCATTGGAGTCCCGTAAGAGATCTTATGTGAAACGATACACAAGACCCATGTCAATTCAATTAAACAAGGGCCCAAAGAGGGGGAGAGAAATCGGTGGCAGAGCAGCACTAGACTGAGAGCTGTTGAGACTGATTGCTGCAGGATGAGGGAGAGTATAGTATGACTTATGTACCACCGCTAAATAGGTTGACTAGACTCCAGTGGACGCATTTACACTGAAGGACATTTGGTACAAATACCTGAATGAGTAGGACTTAACGTATTGTGGAATACATGAAGTTCAGTGGGGGGGGGTGGCATGGATGGGGAGGGGATCCAAATTTGTTTAAGAACTGTTGTATCAGCTGGACAAGGTGGTGCATGCCTTTAATCCCAGCATTTGGGAGGCAGAGGTAGGCGGATTCCTGTGAGTTCAAGGCCAGCCTGGTCTACATAGAGAGTTCCAGGACAGCTGGAGCTACAGGGATACCCTGTCTCAAAAAGAAAAGAAAAAAAACCCTGTTGAATGAAATTACAAAAGCTCAATTAAAAAAAAATGAAATGATTTGTTATTACTGGCATGAGCCCATTATGTCAGAAACATAGATGGCTACATTTCTCTCTTTCCACAATGTCATAATTTATTGAATAACAATAAATTCACAAGCCACATCAGTTTTGTTGGCTATAATTTACCTGGTTTCCTTGATAGCTGGCCATTGGCAATCACAGTTGGTTTTTTTTTTATTCCAGTCTTAATGACTAATATTTTTGCAGACACACATGTCTGTGTCTGTGTCTGTGTGTGTGACTGAAGGATTAGAGGGGCTGGAGAGATGACATTGGTTGCCATTGCAGAGTGCTCTTGCAGAGGACCCACGTTTGATTCCCAGTACCCACATGGCAGCTAATAGCCATCTGTAACTCCAGTTCCAGGGGATCCAACATCCTTTTCTGACCTCTCCAGACATTGTATGACATGGGTACACTTACATGCATGCAGGCAATATACTCATGCACAAAAAATAAAGAAATAATAAATTATTATAAAATATTTTTAAAATTAAAACAAAACAAAAAAAGAATTAGAAAGCCATTGAGTTCAGTGGTCCCTTACTGGAGACAAAGACAGAGTCACAATAAGTGGTTAGATATAATATTAAGGGACCCAGTTAGAGAACTACTGGAAAGCCCTCAGAGCAGAGTCACAGGGTCTTAGCTGTAGAGTTGCAGTGTCTGTATAGCTGTAGGAATAAGGTGGCAAAGGACCAGTTCCAGATGGTATGGTCTGAACAGCTGGTCACAGAGATCCTCTGCCTCTGCCTCCCTGGGGATTAAAGGTGTGTGCCACCACACTCAGCGCTAGACCAACCCGTGTTCTTCTCGCTGAGCGGTCTCTCCAGCTCCCAGAGTTAAGATTTTTCAAAGGCAAGGAAATATGGAAAGACCAGGAAATGAAGCAGAGATCTTAAAGGGTACTTGAAGGTCATCATTTTGGCATTTGCCAGTGAACTAATTTAGGAATAGTTGCATTGTGACTTCAGAAGCTACCAAAGATGACTGTTATCTGAGAGCAAAGATGCAAGGAAAATAAGTGAAGAAATAGTACAAAATTTTATTTATTTGGTAACATCTACTTGTTCAAAGCCAGTCTAAAACCTGGAAATTTATGGATTTTTTTCTTATATTAATGCATTCCATGAAGAGCAGCATTACAACAGTATGCTACATTAATAGAGTCCAAAGAATCTGGGAAAATGTTGAATTTTGGCACAAAAGTAAATTGAAGACTAAGAATGATGGATTTGAGGAAAAATGTCAGATATTGATATCTAATTTAGTTGGATAGAAATCAGTACTTGATGTCAATAAATAGCAGTTTGTGATTTGAAAAAGTTGATTTGCAAAATTTTTACCTCATGCAAAACAAAATAGTAATTAGAGAGTGGCATACAGCATAAAGGTAACAAATTGGTTTCTATATCTGTAGGATACTTTCCTTATAGAGCCAAAGTACTCCTACAATAAAGAAATACAGGCAGTTTATAATTATAATAGTTTAGAAAGAGAATTCCTTCTGTAGCAAAGTTCCTCAAAAGATAATGCAGATTAAATACTCCAATCTAAAGTGTTTGGTATCAGGGCTGGGGAGATAGCTAATTTGGTAAAGTGCTTGATGCATAAGCATAAGAACCTGAGTTGGGATTCTTAGCATCCATGTAAAAAACCAGGGTCGTGTGCCTGTATCATGACCCACTAGAGTGCAGAGACAGGCAGATCCCTTGAGCCCACTGGCCACCCAGTCTGGCTGATCAACAGGTGCTGGGTTCAGTGAGAGACCCTGACTCAAAACACAAGGTAAACCATAATAGTGGAAGACACCTGTGGTTGATCTCTGACTTTTACACACATGCTTGTGCACCTTGTATGCACACATGCACACATACATACAAACCCAAAAACACCCTGCACACCCCCCCACACACAGAAAAAGTACTTGATATCACATATTCAGGGGTGTTTTAGATTTTGAAATATTTGTATATATAGTGAGTTTTTTAATAGGACCCTAGTTTGGACAGGAGATACATTTATGTTGCATAAGTACCTTACACATATAACATGAAGATAATTTTACTTAATATTTTTAGTGTACATGGGGTCAAGTCTGGAATTTTCCACTTGTTGTATCATATCAGCACTTACAAAGTTTGGAATTCTGGAGCATTTTGGATTTTTGAGTATTTGGATGAAAGATGTTCAACCTATAAAATAAAAAGCTTATACCAAGACAGTGAAGCAGGAGAACATGAGTCCAGTGCCAGACCCTGCCTCAAAATTAACAGGTCCATAGAAAAACCTGTAAAAGGAAAGAATAAGGTAGCTGAGAGCTGAGGTTCCAGAAATATACATTTTGAGTGGAATACATAGAGAATTAAAGCACTCAGACAATAGAAACAGAATAGCATACATATAAGAGGTATACAAAGAGAAAATACAATGGATTATTTTGAGATTTTATTTTTTGAAATTGGAGAAATTAAAAGGGATAGTCAGGCACATACAGAAATTGAGATAAATTAAAATTGATGTATCTGCAATATATACATACCTTATATACATAGAAATCACAGATTTGAGAACTCCTAGAGGCTAGTGAAGGTGTCTTTTGTATGTAAGATACCCTTTTACTGTCTGTCAGTTCTTCCGGCCTCTTAAAAAATAATTTACTATGTTCATTTTATTTTTTTATTTATTTGTGAATGTGTGTGTGTGCACATGCACATGCCACAGTGTAAGTGTGGAGGTCAGAGGACAACTTGAGGGAGTCGATTACCTCCCTCAAGGATTAACTGTCAGGTCTGGGATTGAACTCAGGTTGCCAGACTTGGTTGCAAGTGCTTTTACCTGCTGAGGCATCTTGCTGGTCCCTTTTAGGCCTCTAAGAGTCATGAAATGATCCTACAGAAGACAGAGAGAGATAGGAAGATTGAATGGTAAAATAATTTGTAGTTCGATAACCATCCATTATGCAAATGACAATATAGTTTTAAAGTGATATGTCTAGTAACATTCTACAACATAGTTGCCTAGTATACCTTGATAATCAATGAAAACAGATGAATAGGAGGGAGGTTATGCTCACAAAATCTATTGTATTGATTCAGTTGATATAAGACTTTATTCCTCTTATTTTTATTCTAATATCCTCAAATATATTTTTAGTGGTAGAAGATGATGAAGATGACTTTCCTACAACACGTTCTGATGGAGACTTCTTGCATAACACCAATGGCAATAAAGAAAAATGTAAGTAATACATTTTCTTCCTCAATTGGATGAAATATACTTTCTGAAGTTATAGTAACTATCAAAGAATAACTCCTAATGAATAATATTTTTAAAAGCAGCGCAACTCCTGGAATCTCAGATTAAAATAATCTTCTAAGAGAAGTCATGTAGGGAAATGCATATTTTGTATCATGTAATAATTAGACTTGCTGGGACCAGAGAGATGGCTCAGCAGTTAAGAACACTTGCTGTTCTTATAGAAGACCCAGATTCAATTCCCAGCACCTTCATGGTGACTAGCAACTGTCCATAACCCCAGTTTCAGGGGATCTGACACCCTCTTCTGGCCTTTGTGAGGGCATTGCACATATATGATGCACTTACATACATACAGGTAAAACATTCATAGACATAAAATAAAAATATAGATAAAATATTTAAAAAATTATTAGGCTTGCTATCTAGCAAAGGCTCATTCTAAATTCCAAATAACAGCCTCTTCATTGAGTTAGTATTGGCAAAATTAGTTTCTAGCAGTGAAAGTGTTTTATTCTTAGGGGAGAAATGCTGCTAGTATTGAAACATATTTAATGAATTGTTAGAGGAAAATTCTTGGGGAGTTCTAAATTTTTCATTTCTATGACGTTTAGTCAATGCTCGTTTGACATCTTTCTAAGAAAATGCTAAAGTGGAAAAAAGTTAATCAGAGTATACTTCTTTCTGCTGTAATGATGAAAGAATATAAATAAAATCTCTCAAGAGCACATTTTACAAGTTGTTTTTTAAGCTTTTTTGTCCATGAAAATAATTTTCTGTTTTAGAGCTCATATTAGAATATCCCTTTATTGATGCCAAAATCTGTTGCTTTTCTCTTCCATGTCTTTTCCTCCTTTCCTCTTTGTTTCTTATTTGGACCAAGACTCCTTCCTTAAAATGTAATTCCTCCTTGTCATGCAAAATTCTAGCGTAATGTTATAGCTTATTATACACATTGTCCTTAATAATTTATTATTATTTAATATTTTATTTATTATTTTTAGTTTATTTGTATGGGTGTATTGCCTGCATGTATGTGAGTGCACCTGTGTCGTGCAATGCTGTGGAGGTCAGAAGAGGGCTTCAGATTCCCCTGGAGCTAGAGTTAAGTACAGTTTGTAGCCACCATGTGGGTGCTCGGGATTGAACCCGGGTCCTCTGCAAGAGCAGTGTACTTAACCGCTCAGTCATCTCTCCAGCCCCTGTCCTTAATAATTTAGACTAAAGTCTTGAAGCTTACCAAGCCATCCAATGTCTTTATGGAATTAAAGGACTATTTGGGGAAGGTTCTTTGGATTACATTTTAATTTCACAATCACTAATACATGCTTTAATAGGAAAAATACATTGTTTGGCCATTTTAAAAGGTATTGAATGACTTGACCCAGTGGGCCTTAACACAGATGACAGAGTATATGGGTTCCAGTACAGGTGTATAAAGATGATTAAGATTGTTTGAGATATTCTATATGAAAGACACAAAAATTCAATAAAAACAAATTTAAAAAAATAATGTTATTGAAAAAAGTTTTAAAACTCTCAGGCCTAATTATCCATCCCACAGACACTTAGATATCACACTTGCTTTTCCAATAGAGACTGGAGGTTATTTTATTTATTTGTTGAACTGGAAATTTCTGAGTCAGGAATACTTGGTACAGTAAAAGGTAATTGTATTGTGCTATTGAGCAAATAATGGGGCTAGCAAGATGCCTCAGTCAATAAAGTGCTTGTGAGGATCTGAGCTTGACCCCCAGGCACATCAGTTTGTACCTATAATCCCAACACTGAGAAGGCAGACACAGAAGATCTCTGGAGCATGAAGGTCAACCGATCTAGCCAAATCAGCAAGCTTTAGGTTCAGAAAGAGAACCTGTCTCAAAAAATAAGGTAGAGAGCTAGAGCTGACCGCTGGCCTCCACACACACTCACACACATACCTGCACACATCACACACAAAAGAAAGTAGTTAAGTAGAATTTTATGTCGTGATTGAGCTCTGTCTTATTGTTGTTCTTATTTCCAAGAACTCTGGCACCGAGGAGCCTATGAAAAGTTCACATAATGAAAGATGCAGTCCCCGGCCCCTTTCTCCTTATTTCCAGAATACCCATCTAATTGACATATATTTCCTGACTCAGAATTAGAAGAAAATTCTGGGGAAACTGAATAGTGATAGAGAAAAGACCTATAAGTAGAGATACAGGATATTGATGCTATCATAAGAAAGCTGACTCACCACCAGATCACCTTTTAATGAAGTCCTCCAGTTTAAAGACTTGCTAGTGAATTCTACTTCCTAACCCTCAAATGTGAACAGATAGCCAAATCCCTAGACATTTGAAGAAAAAGTCCAACCTGAAAGATAGTGATGAAAACTATCTAGAAAACCACACTAGAGAAAGAAACTCAGTGTAGGAAGCAAAAGAAAACTATACTGAATATTGTCAATAAGAAAGCACTAGACATCCAAATTCAAGACTACTTCTGCTCAATAGTCCATATTTCTGTAGATGCTATCATCTACAAAGAAAATTTTAGAGATGGGGTTGTAGCTCTTGGGTAGAACACTTGCCTAGCATGCACAGGGCCCTGGGTTCAAGGGCTAGGCTGCAAAACAATTCTTTTGTTTGAATTTATTTTTTTGTTGTTTTTGATTTGTTTTTATTGAATTTTTCTGTATTTCATACAGAGTATCTCAAACAGTCATCTTTATACCCCTGTCCCCACCAGCACCCTCCCATAGCTCCCCTACTGGAACCTATATACTCTGTCATCCATGTTAAGGTTCACTGTGTCAAGTCAGTGTCCCCAGATGTTCCCCAGTGCAAGTCCATCCACTGATGTCTAGTCAGCCTATCTAGAGTCCCTTGTTTTAGGAAGATCTGTTCTTCCTCACCTAGCAGTAATCAGATGCCAGTATTTCTTGAGCTAAGATTGGGCTATGCTGTACATTTCCTCAGTTCTATGCTAGGTTGTATGTACCCAGATATATAACTGCAGGAACCAGAATAATCAAAAGGAACCAGGGAGGTAAAGGGAAAGAAAGAACCTGAGAGAGAACAGATGCAAAACAATATTTTTAACTTTAAAAAAAAATTTTTTTATCATTTTTATTTTACGTGTATGTGTGTATTTCCTGCATGTAGGTAAGTGCACCTGTGTCGTTCAATGCCCACAAAGGTCAGAAGAGGCTGTCAGATCCCCTGGGACTGGAGTTATAGACAGTTGTTAGCTGCCGTGTGGGTGCTGGGATTCAAACCCAGGTCTTCTGCAAGAACAACCAGTGTTCTTAACCACTGAGCCATCTCTCCAGCCCCCAGATGCAAAACAATTTTTTTAAAAAGAAAAATTAGAACAAATACCTTAAGAACTATTAGAACTATAAGTGATTCAACACGCTTGCAAGGTATAAGACCAATATATGTAATATCAATTATATTTTTACTTGTCATGAACAATCTGAAAATGATATTAAGTAAATATAATAGCATCAAAAATAATTAGTAATACACTTAGCAAAAGAACACAAACATTATACTCTGAAAACTATAACATTATTTTAAAATTAAGAAAGCCTAAAAACACAGAAAGGCATCCCATGTTCATGGACCAGAATACTTAACATTGTTAAGAATTTAGTACGTCCCAGATTGCTAAACCAATTTAATCAAATCCTTATAAAAATCTCAAGTCTTTCTTTTTTCTTTTTTTCAAGGTATTTTTTTTAAAGGAAGTGATAAGCTGGTCCTAAAATTTATATAGAGGTATAGATGATTCAGAATCCCCACTTAAAAAAGAACACCCAAATAAGAAGATTCACATTTCCCAATTTTTTAATTACTAATCAACAGTAAACAAGACAATGAATGTTTACCACTAGCAGTAAGGATGGACATAGATCAACTGAATAAAATTGAGAGTCCAGAAATAAAATCTCAGATTTATAGTCAACCTGTTTTTCACAAGTCTGCCATGTCAGTTCAGTGTATAAGTTTCAGACATTTTAATAGATGTGCAATGGTACCTCTTGGAGTTTTAATTTGCATTTCCTTAGTGACTAATAATATTGTCATCTTGTGTATTTACTTGCTATCTGGTGAACTGTATTCAAACCTTTTGTTTTCTACCCTCCAAATAGACCTTTTTTTTCTTAACAGTGTGAGGGCATCAAACCTAGAGCTTTGTGTGTGCTATACCACACACAAATGCTTTACCACAGAGCTATATCCCATTACTAGTCACCCCCCACCTTAATTGGTTGTTTATTTACTCAATGTACTGTATGCTTAAGTTTCTTGATATATTGTAGATACGAGTTCATGATTAAAGTATGCCATTTATGGGGCTAGAGTGATGGCTCAGTGGTTAAGAGCACTGACTGCTTTTGCAGCAGACCTGGGTTCAGTTCCCAGTATCCACATGGCGGCTAACCACCATGCATAACTCCAGTTCCGGGGGAATCCAATGCCCTCTTCAGACCTCCATGGCTGTACTTGGCAATACATTCATATGCATAAAATAAAATAATACATAAAATATTTTTACTATGCCATTTATTTCTCTCTAGCTCATCTTTTAACAATGACTTCAAGAGCAGAAATTTTAATTTTAATAAACTAGTTTATCACTTTGTTCCTTTACAGATTATACCCTTATTATTTTAACTACATATAAGTTTAGTCAGAGTGCCATTATTTCTTCATTATTATAAAGCTTTTCTCAGGATGATTATATATTCTTTCATTTAATTCAGTAACCATGAATTACAGTTATAAAGGTAAATGTAAAAGTTATTTCATATGTGCATTGGTCCTAGACTTAAATGTTTTTGAATTTCATATTACTTTTTAAAATTCTACAGTTTATCTTGGGATATTTTTTAAATTCTAGACTTTCTGAATGTAAGGTAGCACTTGCCATAATTAAGTCCCCACTAAGCTCTAAGCTCTCCCAATGTTCTTGTATTACTCCTCCTACCACTTGATTCACTGGGTGCAGCACAGCAAATAGAGATCAGGAAATAGAATCTAGAAAACAGAACTTGGAAGTGTGTTTGCTGTCACAAAGCTTGGTTCACCAGCATGCACATGGTGTTTTTAATGCTGGTCCACAGGAGGAAGATTATAATCCAAAAAGCTCCTCTGATTTGCTGGTTTTATAAATACTTGCTTATTTTAAATTGTGATGAATAATTCATTTGAATTATTTTCAGTAAATAACTTTTTTTTTCAGTATTTCCACATGTAACACCCAAAGGAATTAATGGCATAGACTTCAAAGGGGAAGCGATAACTTTTAAAGCAACTACTGCTGGAATCCTTGCTACACTTTCTCATTGTATTGAATTAATGGTAAAACGTGAAGAGAGCTGGCAGAAGAGACATGATAAGGTAAGAACAGTTTTTCTTTGTTTTAAAAATAATCAAATTTTAAGTTTCATGTGTTCAATAAGCATTAAAGTCAGACTAAGTTCTTAGGGGAAGGTCCTTTGGGCGGATAGAAGTAACAGGTGTTGCTGCTTCTCTGACACATGATCAGAATCCTAAACTTATTATTTACCACTGATTTATTCAGTTGTACAGTATACTTTTGTAGTTATATTTAATATTAAACATTTTAAATATTATTTGTGATGGTTTGAAATAGATGTATCATTTGGCATTACTCAGTTTCAGTGTGTAAGATGTAAAACAGTGTTTAAGTTACATGGATTAACTTGAGCACCAATTAATGTAGTTAAACTTTTGCTTACTACATTCTATGCCATTGTGCTTTTCCTGGGCACTATGATATCATTTAACATACATTATGTTGTTTGAATATTTGCCATATACACTATAGTCCCACCTTTATTTAATCAGCACCACTGATAATACTACAGTATGAGTCTCTAGCTTTTAATGTGAACTATGGCTCACTGAATTTACTCAGGAAAACTTTTTAAAATTCAGCTTTCATAAAATAGCAGAATCCTGAAACTGAAATATGTCTTAGAAAGACTCCTTTCTAATTCAACACCATCATTTTATAGAAGGAACTGAGTCAAGAACTTGTGCAAAGGTGTTAAGCAGTAATGCTAGAGCAGATTTTCTTTGTTGTGGTTATGTCTGCTCTGGATAACAGGCTGAACCTCAGTCAGAATCTTGTTCATCAGAAAACTTCACTGCTTACAGTGTTTGAAGGTCTTTCAACTTGAATGAATATCTTGCAATTTGAGTCACACACTGAGAAAAGCAGTGGCATTTGACATACGGCAGTATGATCAAAGGTTTTAAATACCACTATGTGTTTAAAACAAGTCCCAGGTCTGGCAAGATGACTCAGAGGTTAAGAACACTGGCTCCTCTTGCAGAAGACCCTGTTAGTTCCTAGCACTCACTTTCCAGCTAACAATATTTGTCAGTGCCAGTTCAGGGGATCCGATGCAACCTTCTCGCCTCCATGGGCACTGCAAACATGGTACACTTGCATACATGCAGACAGAATGCTCAGAAACATAAAAATTTTAAAACAATTTTGATGTTTTATTTTTTTTTTTTACTCTATTTTTGGGGGGGTCTTTTCGAGACAGGGTTTCCTTGTAGCCCCAGCTGGCCTGGAACTCACTATGTAGATCAAACTGACCTTGATCTCACAAAAGATCTGCCTGTCTCTGCCTCCCAGTGCTGAGATTAAAGGCATGCACCATCACACCCAGTATAATTCCCATGTTTTAGAAGAAGAGAAAGCAACTGGAAGAGATGGCTCAGAGATTAAGAGCACTGACTGCTCTTACAGAGGACCTGGGTTCAATTCCCAGCACCCACATGGTGGCTAACAACCATCCATAACTCCAGTTCCAGGGGAATCCAACACCCTCTTCTGACTCTGTGAGCATTGCATGACACGAGTGCACTTACACATAAGCAGACAATACGCTCATACACGTAAAATAAAAATAATAAAATATTTTTTTAAAAAGAAGAAAAAATAGCTGTTCAGAATTCTTAAGTACAGGTGAGAGTGAGCCAGATTAGTAGGCAGTATGCACACCCTTATCTGTGGGGTACGCCAAGACCCTCAGTGGATGTCCAAAATCATCCACAATATCAAACTCTGTACTATATTTTTCCTGTAGATTCATACCAGTGATAAAGATTAATTTATAAATTAGGCACAGTACAAGAATGACAAAAGCTAATACTGATAATTCACAAAAAGTTGTTTATCATAAATTCATAAAATTGGGAAAGAAAGCACAGTAATAACATTGTGATTTCATTGATATTTTTTCAATCCAGAGTATTTCTATGCCTGCTAAAGCTAGGAATAGATAAATAATAATAAACAGATAATAGTCCCTCACAGAACTTAAAATATAAGGAGAGTAGATAGTAGGTGATGATATGAAATTGTCTACTTTGTATGTTTATGTAAACTTAAAATGTCCACTCGAGTATTCTTTCAGCTAATTAAAATTATTTAGTGATCATTTTTATAGATATCTATAATAATAAAAGTCACTTTTCTTTTAGAAATGTATTTGTTAGCTAGTTTGCTCAAGAAGATTAAAATTCTAAGTTTAAATTATTTTAATTAGCAGTATTTAGTAAGAGAAGATTTTACTCATTGCAGATGTGTGTCCTAGCTTCAGTTCAGATATGGTATAGATACAAAACAGCTTTGTGTATGTCTGGTGGGCTTTAATTTAGCCATTATTACTTAAAGCGAGGCACCGAAGCATCCTGTTTTTTATTTTCTGTGCTTGCCAGGCTTCAGTATTGTATCAGATTTGACCCAGTGACACCATGTTATGACAGGAAATTTGAGTTTGATTTAACCTTTAACTTTTTACCTTGAATCTTTTAACATTGTAGTCTCTGTCTGTAAAATAGGATTAAAGTAGGTATCTTTTTTAAGCCTAAAATACTTTAACAAGAAGAAGAAAAATAAGAAATCTTGCTTAAATTTTCTTTTTAATATTGACTGATTCCACCTAAAGTTTAGACGCTTGGACAGTTACCCCACCATTTCTTAACCACTTAAATAGATAACCAACATACCAAGGTAATCTTGGTAAGCTTGTATGTAATATATGTCCCCCCCCAAAATATTTTCTTGAGCAGAGAAATACTTGAATTTTCACAGGAGTCGAGTTTTTGTTTGTTGTTGTTGTTGTTGTTGGGGGGGGTAGAATCATAAAATTTCATTGAAATTTACCTAAAAGTCGATTACAATTAAAATTCTCACTTCAAATGACAAATCTCTCTCTCTCTCTCTCTCTCTCTCTCTCTCTCTCTCTCTCTCTCTCTCTCTCTCTCTCTCTCTCTCTCTCTCTCTCTCTCTCTCTCTCTCTCTCTCTCTCTCTCTCTCTCTCTCTCTCTCTCTCTCAGGAAACAGACAAGAGAAGAAGAGTAGAGGATGCATACAAGAATGCAATGGCAGAACTTAAGAAAAAATCCCATTTTGGAGGACCAGATTATGAAGTATTAACTTATATTTTGGTCTTAGTAAGAAAAACATATAGGCCACATTTGTTACAGAAGTGATCTTTAATACTTTCATAACCCTTAAGTGTTCTAAATGTATAATTTGTTTTTCAGTGTTAATTTAATTAGATGTATCTGATGTGGAGTTTTTTTTCTTTTTAATCTCTTCAGAGCTTAAGACATGCTTTAAAAGGCACAATATTTGCCTGTTCACTTTCAATTTTTTACATTCATTTGTTTGTGTGTGAGTGCATGTGTGCTATGGCTTGTGTATGGAGGTCAGAGGACAACTTGTGGGTGTGAGTTCTCTCCTTCCATCATGTGGGGTCTGGGGATTGAACTTATGTTCTCAGGCTGGTGGCAAGTGACCTACCTACTGAGCCATCATACCTGCTTGCTGTTCACTTTATAGGACAAGTTTGGGGTTTGGTTTTGTTTTTTGTTGTTTTGTTTTTTGACTCTTTTGTTGAAGTTTTGCATTACTGATTTTTTTGTGTGTGTGAATTTCATACGTCTTGATCATATTTAGACCCTTTCCTTTTTCTGCATCCCATATAGCCTCCTCATTGGTTTTCATGCATTGTGTCATGTATGTTAAGGCCTGTCAAGCCAAGTTTCTGTCCCCAAATATCCCTCAGTATCAGTTCATACACTGGAGCCTAATAAACCTATTTAACATCCCTTCCTCAGAGAAAACCAACTCTCCCTCTCCTACTAATCATCCGTTGCTAATAGTTTCTCAACTAAGGTTGGGGCTTCTTACCTATTTCCTCCCTTCTGCACTGATTTTTTTGTCTAGTTTGAGCTTGCATGGGTCCTGTGCATCCTGTCACCATTGCTCTAAGTTCATATGAGTAAGTTCCCAGCTATGTGACAACTCTGTTTCCTTTTGGTCATCTACCACCCCTGGCTCTTACAGTCTTTCTGCCCCTTCTTCCATGATGATCACTGAGCCCTGGGTGGCAGAAGTTTGATATAGGTGTCCTACCCAAGGACACATACTCCACGGTCTCTTATTCTCTGCACTTTGATCAGTTGTGGGTTTTCTGGGTTTATCACCATCTGTTTGTTGCATGAGGAAGCTTCTCTGGTGAGAGCTGAGAGATGCATTAATAATCTCTCTACCCCCTGTTCACTGTATTCCCTGAGCCTTAGGTGTAGAGGTTGCATTGTACATGTGTCACTTAGGGCTGCTCTTCTCACAGACTCTTACTCTGAATTTGACCAGTTGTAGAACTCTGTAACAGTCTCTGTCTTTTGCAAGAAGAAGCTTTTGATGAGTGGTGAGAGGTACACTTGTCTGTAAATGTGAGGATACATATTTAGACTACAGTAAGAAATTGCATTGGTCTAGGGATGTGAAAAAAAAGTACGTTTTTCTCTAGGACTATGACCTCTCCAGCCATGTGTATATCTATGTTTATTTACAGTGCCACACATGACTTCTCTCTCATTGAGAGGGCCTTAAGTCCAGTTAGAAAGCTGTTGACTACCCCCAAAATGAAAGTGCCACTACTGCACTAGTAGAGATAGTTTTCTGGGTCAATCATTGTTGTGTTTATTAGGCTTTACAGTTGGGTAGACCATTGATTGTTTTTCTCCCTTGGCAGTTTGTATAATATCCTCTGATATCACGAGAACTAGTCTTCAGGGACGAGGCTTCCATGTCAGTTCAGCTCATTTGCTCCCATCCTGTGCCCAAAATATGTTCTGTCTTCAGCAATAAGATCTTACCTTCAAGTTCTGGGAGGCAATCAAGGGCTTTGTAATACTTTGGCAGTCTCTTGAACTACCCTGACCAACCACTCAAAGGAGTGTTTCTTCTGCCTGGCTCTTGTTTTTTGTTATATAGCCTTGATCTACACATGCACTCATATATATTTTGTATGTGTATTTTTCAGTTGAATTTGAACCAATACATTTCCTTCTGTTTTTTTATACTCTTTAAACATTATTTATCTTTCTTCTCTCTCCCCCAGTATAACCCTCCCTCCCCAGTTAAAGTACCCCCATTTTATACAATATATTTTGGTTTAGATCCCCTCCCTTATCTTTACCCCTTATCCAATTTCATATGCCTATAGAGTCAAATTTGTGTCCCAAATGCCATTCCCTGTGGCCATGTTCATCCACTGGAGCCTGGTCAAACTACCAAGAATCTTACCCTTAAAGGAGACTCACTCTCTCCCTCCTGGCAGCCATTGCTTGCCAGTACTTCCTCAGGTAAAACTGGGGTTTCTTACCCACTTCCCCACATCTGTGCTGGGATTTTGTCTGGCTTGAGCTTAGGTGGGACTTGTGCATGCTGTCACCATTGCTGTGGGTTCATGTGAGTAACTGACCAGCTGTCTGGAAAACTCCATTTCCTTGTGATCATCCACCTCTTCTGGCTCTTAACAATCTTTCCGCTCTCTCTTCCACAATGATCCCTGAGCCTTGGGAGGCAGAAGTTTGGTATAGGTGTCCATCATATTCGGGGATAAGCCCCCTGCAGCCTACTCTCCTCTTCTCTGTACATTGGCCAGTTGTGGATTTCTGTGTTAATCACCATGTGCTGCATAAAGAAGCTTCTCTGCTGAGAGATAATTTATAAGAATAACAAAAAGTAGGACGTTTTTAATCTTTCTGTGAGAATAATCATTTTTATCTACTTATTTTAGCTACTTACATCTTTTTTTTACCTGAATGGTATTTATTTATATTTTTTAAAACATGCAGAGGTAAAAGCTAAGTACTTTTCAGACAAAAGATTTAGTCTGTGCTGTACTGTGAGCTCTTATCTTTAGCAGAACATGAATTTTTTAAGTTGCGTTTATGTTTGAAAATACCTGAAACCAACTTCTTTCCCCTTTTGTTTGGCAAGCAATTAATAAAGTCCCTCCCCATACATACATAAATACTGAAACTTTATGAACCATTTTTCCATGTTGTTTCTTTTGTTTGTTTTGCTTGGTTTGGTTTTGGTTTAAGTTTTAGTTTGGGGTCTTTGTTTTTTGTTTTGAGATAGGGTCTCAACATATAGCCCAAGCTAACTTCAAATGGCCATCCTCCTTTTTCTACCTTCAGAGTACTAGGCCTTAAGGGCATACATAGACTACCATACACAACTTCCATGATCTTTAGTACAAAAGAAAAAAAAAAAAAAGAGAGAAAGAAATGTCAGTGTCATTAAACATTGTAGAACATTGTAGTTATTTCTGAAAAGAACATTTTAAAAATGAGATGGCGAGAAGTATTATAGAGGTAGAAGCAGAATGATAGTTACAGTTTATATTGAAGAAAACAAGAATGGGCTGGAGAGCTGACTCAGCAGTGAAGAGCACTAGCTGCTCTTGCAGAGGACTCAGATTCAGTTCCCAGTACCCACAAGCAGCTAACAACCATCTATAACTCCAGTTCCAGGGGATCCAACACCTTTGGCCTCCATGGACATTCATGCATGGGTATACTTACATACATGCAGGCAAAATACCATATACGTAAAATAAAAATAAATATTTTTAAAAGTAAACAGAAGAAAAATTTCTTATATTTTTACTCCAGAAAAGGAAAAGAAAAGAGCTGCTATTAGATGAATGTTTATTAATTTTGTAGTCAGTTTCCAGTTGCTGGAATCCATAATGATGAAACTTAAGTTGTAATATTTTAAAATTAGTAAATAATCAATTCACTCTTAAATGTATTAAAATTGCATGATTAGGTATCTTCTAGAGTTTTTAATCTAGATCATTGGAAACAAACTATTACAATGACAGTTTTTCTTTCGAAGCTAAGCAGATAGTTTTTAATGTTTTAGGCTTTTTGAAAGAGTTGTCTGCTTTCTTATTTCATTTTTATATATAAGTAAAATACGTGTTTCAATACAGAATTATATAAAATACAAATACGCCATAGCTTCAAAGCCAAAATTCATGTTGCTTATTGATACAATTGAATGTTTTTTGAAAGTACTAGTCATATGTATTCTTTAATAGCTCTCCTTCCCATTTCCTTTTATAATTTTTCTTACTAGGTTTTTGTTCTATTGATTTAAAAGATTTATCAACTTCATTTTCAATAGAATTTTTTTCAATTCTTTTCCTTTGATAGCTTTTAAAATTCTTGTTGAGCCTGGCATAGTCCCTCATGCCTTAATCCCAGCACCAGAGAGGCTGAGGCAGGAGGCCTTGAGCTGGAGGCCATCCTGAGCTACATAGCTACAGGGTAAAATCTCATCTCAAAAAACAAAGAGAAAAAAATCATATTGACCGCTGGTTCAGCCTTTTTTTGATGAGTCTGTCTTCTGATAAATTTATTAAATAATTGTTTGTATTTTCTGTTTTTATTTGTAATGATCTCCTCTAATGTATTTAATACATTCTGGGTTTTTTTTTTTTTGGTTTATTCTTTGAAAGCAGTATCTAATATAGCCCAGGCTGGCCTTGAGCATTTGATCCTCCTGTCTCTGCCTCCTGAGTGTTAGTCCCACAGCTGAGTCCTAGATGAATTCTATAGTTGTGCACCACTATAGCCAGCACATCTGAAGTTTTAGTATTACTACGTTTTTTTTAAAAAAAAATTTGAGACAGGGTCTCCCTGTAGCCCCAGCTGGCCAGATTTCAGGATGCAGGCCAGGCTGGCTTCCATCTCATAGAGATCCTCCTGCCCCTACCTCCCCAGTGCTAGGATTAGAGGCATGTGCCACTACACCCACCTTAAATTATTGTAGAATGTAGGAATGTATATTTTATTCCATTGTCATATATTGAATATTCTTATTCCACCTATTTAAAATATGTCTTCCTCTTCTTTCTTAGTGAAAAAATTGGCTGGGCTTGGTGGCATATATATCCCAACACTATAGCGGTAGAGGAAAAATCAGGAATTCAAGGCTAAGCTGGGCTATATGGGACCCTGTCTCCAAAAACAAACAAACAAATAACCTTGGGTACCAGCTACCAACTACACCACAAGCAAAGTTTGACACAGGCTTTCTCAGTCATCTTCTCACTGAATCCCTGTGAATTTTCATTCTAAAACACACAGCTTTCATTTAGGGATATATTTCAGCGATAGCATGCTTGTCTAGTATGTACAAGGCTCCAAGTTCAAGCTCTAATGATATAAAAACAAAACAAAAATAAAACGAAAATATACAGTTCTTAAATTATCATGTTTTTATACTTTATTAGTTTTGAAGTTTTTAAGCTAGTTTTTTCTTGTCAGTACTATACTTTTACAGATTTTAGACTGGTTACCAGACTCCCAGTACTCTGGTTATTAACAATATGTTAACTGTAGCTTCCAATGATAATTTTAATTTTGAATTCTTTCCTTAAGATTTATTGTAATAATACTGGGGCTGGAGAGGTGGCTCAGCAGTTAAGAGCACTGTCTGTTCTTGCAGAGAACCAGGTAACAACCATCTGTAACTCCAATTCCAGGGGATCTGACATCCTCTTCTGACCTCCTGGAGCATTGCGCAGCATGGATGCACTTCATACAGACAATACCAATACATGTAAAACAAATTCCTTAAGATTTATTGTAATAATACTGGGGCTGGAGAGGTGGCTCAGCAGTTAAGAGCACTGTCTGTTCTTGCAGAGAACCAGGTAACAACCATCTGTAACTCCAATTCCAGGGGATCTGACATCCTCTTCTGACCTCCTGGAGCATTGCGCAGCATGGATGCACTTCATACAGACAATACCAATACATGTAAAACAAAAATAATAATAAAATATTTTTTTTATCTTAAAAAAAGATTTATTATAATAAAATACACTGCTGGGCCTGGAGGATATAGCAAGGAGCAGAGCCAAAGAAGGGCCTGTCTGTAGGGCTAGACCTAATTAATAGGCAGTTATATTAATAGATGGTAGGAAGTTCCTTTAACCCAGTGAAGCTGTTAGGTAGGGAATGGCTGCCCAGAAAATGCATCATTTTAGCTGAAACCTTAAGATTGAGTCAGTAGGATAGGTGTTAACTATTGGATAGGTATTAACCAGATGACTAGCCTCCAAGCAGTGTTTGTTCTAGGAGTTGAGAAAAATTTTTTGGAAGCCAGAACATTCTGTCTCACACAGGAATTGAAAGTAGGTCTCGGTGTAGTGAGTTACCTCTACAAACTGAGGAGAAGGAACAGTAAGAAACTGGGCTATAAAGAATTAGTTCCTAAGAATTAGTTCACATGATGAGGCAGTGAGTTTTAAGCAGAAAGGTAAAGCTTGTATATTTACAGTTTGGGGCAATCATTCTTGCTTCCTTTTGAGGAAAAATGGATTCAGGGTAGCAGCTGAGACCAGGGCCAGACTTTTTCCACCAATACAGATGAAAATTAAAGTTAGCCTAAATTAGAGTGGCAGCAGGAAAATATAGAACCCGGGGCATATTAGGTATTTGGAGAATAGAATTGAAGGGTGTGGCACCTGAGAAAAATGGGAAGACCAAGAGTAGGCCCTGGTTTCTACAGATTAGTATGGAGGTAGAAGAGCAGAATGTGCAGCTGAGTTGAAAGTCTTTATGCTATTAGTCTTTGAATTCTGGCCCTTGAGAGATGAGTCATCTGATGATCCCTGGAACCTTAGAAATGAGTAAGAATGTTGTGGAGAAAGCAAATATAGACAGTCCCCAACTCAATGCCTCAGCCTACGATTTGTAGACTTTATGACGGTACCCAAACAGTGCTGTGAATTGTGATCTTTTCCTATGCTGCCAGTATGTAGTACCTCCCATGCTGGGCAGCTGTAGTGAATTGCAGATTGAACCACCAAGCAGCTGGTAGAGCTGCATATAAATATTTGCAGTGGGCTTCTTGGATGTAACCCCATCATAAACTGAGGAATATTCATGTGAGACTCTGAAGAACATCGACATTTAAAGAATAAATTGGCACATAAGAGGAGCCTTGCAAGGAGCCAAAATAAGAGTGCATAGAAGGATGAAATTAGGAATCTAAAGGTAGTAAGCTCTCTAAGTCATAGAGTGCTTAACAGAAGGAATGCTTCTCTCAGAGCAAGTGAAAGAGACTGGAATGTCCTATAGAACGTCCTTGCTGATAAGCATGCTGAGACAGCAGGTTGGGACTGGGAGGGTGGAGGGATAAGTAAATTTTATTATACTTTAATTTTTGCCCCTCAGATTTGAGATTAAAGGGAAACCCCAGTTTGTTTAGCAAAGTAAAACACCCCACCCTCATCGTACCCCTGTATTCATCAAAGTAGGATTTTTAATGTCATCGATCCTAACTAGTAGACTCCTGAAACTCCCATGTGATAGCATAAGAACCAATAACCCAAATGTGTTAAGACATTGTAGATTGAGTGATTGATTACCTTTTTTTTGGGGGGGGTCTTTTTGAGACAGGGTTTCCTGTAGCTCCAGCTGCCTGGAACTCACTCTGTAGACCAAGCTGGCCTTGAACTCAGAGGATCTGCCTGCCTCTCCCTCCTGAGCGCTGGGATTAAAGGTGTACACCACCATGCCTGGCGTGATTACCATTTTTAAAATGTAGGTTTTTTATGATCAATAAAAGTTTTATAACATTAGGAGCTTGGAATAGAATTTTTTTTTTCTTATCAAGAGAATCCAAAGTTAAAATGCTATCAATTGACTAGAAAGAGTCCTGCAGGAAAGAGGTCTCCAGAGTATTTGTGGTTACTGTTCTTTTTCATGACCTTCATGCCCTAGCAAGTCAAGATGTTATATTTGTTTTACAATTCACTATTCTTTTATGTGTGTGAGGAAAGTCTTCATAACTCTAAAATGACTTCTTTAAATCAGGATTTCTCATATACCTTACCAGATGACAAGAACTTATTTCTTCTCACCTTTCCAGTATGGTCCCAAGTTATTGTAGAGATAGCATGATTTGCGGTTGTGAACCAGCAATTAATTCATCTGTATCTTTTCTCAGGGGAGATATATTTTAAAATATAAGGAACCCAACCCTGAGCCTACCTGTTCACACATGACTTTACCATGATATGAAATTTCTGTTTTACTTAGGGTCCATTTATTTGGTTTATCACAGTAGGAGCATAACTTGTTTGTTCCCAAGTTGCTATTCTCTTTCTCTTTTTTTGCTTGTTTTTTGTTGTGGTGGTTTTTTGAGACAGGGTCTCCCACTAAGAGGCCTGGCTGGCCTGGAACTTGCTGGCCTTGAACTCAAGAGATCTGCCTGCCTTTGCCTCCTGGGTGTTGGGTTTAAAGGTATGTGCCACCATGCCCATTTGCTATTATTATTTATACTTTTTATTTTTCGATATAGCTGGAGTTCCATATATATGAGAATATCTTGAAGAACTTGTTAAACATATATAATCCTAAGTTGTACCCAAAATACACCAAAAGATAACCTCTGGGTATGGGAGCCTGGTAAATTTCATTGTGATGTTATTCAGGTAGTTGATAACCACTAATTTTCCATCTAACCATTCTTTCAAGCATCTCAACTTTCTCTCTGGAGCAAGGTCTCCTTATAAAGCCCAGGTGGCCCAACTCATATTTTTCAGACTGATTAAGCATGTTAATAAGCTTCTGCCTCAGCCTTCTGAGTGCTGGGTTTATAGGCATGCACCACCACTCCTGACTGGAAGAGCCTCTTGAACCCATCTATATGTTTCATTGACTATAGATCTTCTGAAACTTTACACAGACTTTTCTGCGAGTGTGTGTGTGTGTGTGTGTGTGTGTAGGTACATGCATATGTGGAAGTCAGAATTTATTTTTATTTTTGTGTATGAGTGTTTTGCCTGCATATGCAAGATCAGCAAGTGATCTTAACTGCTGAGCCATCTCTCCATCTCCTCCACCTTATTTTTTTAAGACAAAGTCTCTCACTGAACCTGGAGATGACTGTTTTGGCTAGACCAACTGGCAGCAAGCCCCTCTCTCTATCTCCCAGTGTTGGGGATATAGGCATGTGAGCTCTGCTTTTACCTGCCGAAAGATCTGAACTCAGGTTTTCGTGCATGTTTACACACTGAGCCATCTTCCCAGCCCCCTGGCTGCAATTTTAATATATTTATTTATAAGGATGTTCCAATGCAACCTACTTATGGGCAATAAAATTTTAAGTAGTTCCTATATGTTATGAAATGTTACTACTATTTTTTTCCAGCTTTATAAAATTGAAGGTCTTAACTTACAAGCCATACAAAAGCAGGAAGCAGACTGATTCAGACTAGGTCAGACTTTGACCCTGAAACAGTATTGGCCAATATACAGTAAATAAACCTGGTATGATGGCTCATACTTGTAATTCCTGCCCTCAGGAGGCTGAGACAGGAGGATTGCTACCAAGTTTGAGACCAATGTAGGAGGCTACATAGTGAGTTTTAGGCTGGTCTACAGATTGTCAAAAAACAAAACAAAAATAGTGACTTTGAGTATTGAATGAGTTAATTACCTGTAATATTCATGATTTCACACAGTATATGTTACCATGGTAATATCATAAATATTTGCCCAACAAATGTATATTAAGTCAATTTTCAGCTTTCTCCAAGAGGCGATACCAAAGTTAGTAGTGTTTTCTTTTTCCTAAAATAAACGCTCTGTTTGTTGCTTGTTTTCCTGTTTCTTAACTAGGAAGGTCCAAACAGTCTGATAAATGAAGAAGAGTTCTTTGACGCTGTTGAAGCTGCTCTCGACAGACAAGATAAAATAGAAGAACAGGTATAGCTATTATAATTCCAAATATAAATTCATTTTAACACTGTGGTATTCCTTGATGTATATTTATAAAATTAAAAACTGTTAAACCTAAAAATTAATTGTCATAATGTTAAAGAATCTTTGTGAGTCAGTTCTTTTATCTTTTAATTTCTAAACAACAGGTAAACCAGTAATTGTTTAGAGGAAGCATACATAATTAATGTGAACTCAAATCAAAATACTCTTCCAGTTCCTCTTGAAGTATCCAACTTTAACCATTCTAATATCAAAAAGATCTCTCCAGCTGGGCATGGTGGCACATGCCTTTAATCCCAGCACTTAGGAGGCAGAGGCAGGCGGATCTTTGTGAGTTCAAGGCCAGCCTGGTCTACATAGTGAGTTCCAGGACAGCTGGGGCTACAGGGAGACCCTGTCTCAAAAAGACAAAAAAAATTTCTCTAAATTTATCTTCAGGTGACACAAGAACACAAAAGAAAGATTACCAAATCTTAAGATTGTATATTAGTACCACCCAGTTTTTATTAATATTGCTGTCAACCTTCACCATCAGTTTCTTCCTCACTTCCTCACTTCGTTGAATATTTTGTAGTCATCACTGAAGTTGCAGCATTTATACTCAGCTTTGTGGACATTGATGCAAATAATTTTCCCCCACCCCCGAATTATAAAAAAATTTTTAATTTTTATTTTATGTGTATGAGTGTATTGTCTGCATGTACACCTGTGTTGTGCAATGCCAATGGAGGTCAGAGGAGGACCTCTGATTCCCCTGGAACTAGAGTTACAGACAGTTGTTGGCCACCATGTAGGTGCTGGGAATCGAATCCAGGTCCTCTACAAGAGAAGCCAGTGCTCTTAACAACTCAGTGGAGCCATCTCTCCAGTCCCTATCCTCAATTTTTTTTAATTGTGATTTTGTACATTTCAGGCAAAGCATTTCTTAAATCTTTAAGGTTAATTTGATCCCTGCCTTTATTTCTGTTATAATGCAGTTACCATATTTTACCACTAGGTGGTACCTAAGAATAAATTTTACTTACTCCTCTCTCCTTACTCCCTCTCTTTAAGTTGTTCTGTTTGCCCTAGAAACTGCCTCCTTTGGCAAGTATAAAACTTTGGCTATGGGCTGGAGAAATGACTCAGTGGTTAAGAACACTGTTCTTTTTTTTATTTTTTTAATTTTTATTTTATGTATATGCATGTATTGCTTGATAGTTTGATGATATTTAGTTCCTTTCCCCTATCTGTGCCTCT